AAAAATACATGAAACTTGGTATTTTGTTCTCCCTGTCTGGGTCGTCAGGTAATGATTTAGTTTTGCATCAAAATGAGTCACGTGAGTGACTTGAATGCTTGGTTGGAGTCATGCGCACCCAATAAAAATACACATTGCTTCAAGCAAATTACACCGGATTAAAGATGTAAATGTTTCATTGCATTCATCCCTGTAGTTGAACAGTTGAATTTATTTTGTATTTACATTAAGTTATATTTGTTGTTCTTTTTTGGGGCGAGGACTGTTGGTATTTTTTTTTTTTTTTTTACTTTCTATATTGTGGTTTCCACAAATGAAGAGTTGCTTTCTGCTTCTGTTTCTTTCTGTTTAATAGCATGCCTACATTTAACACCTAATGTTCATTTTGCACCTTAGCTAACAACGTGTGGTGTTGTCGCTCAAGCCATCTGTAATTACCATCTGTAATTTGCTTATTTTATATTTATGTCAACGTTGGCATTTCAATTTGGGTGTCACATCTTCACTGACAAAATGCAAACCCAGAGGAGCTGAATTTGTCGATCCTAAAACCAGAGACCATGATCCATAAATTAAAATTGGAAGACACTATATCCAACTGTGAACCCAGCAAGCACAAGCCAATTATTATTTTTAATCCTATAACTTCTCACCACATTGCATATTTTGTCTGCTACTCAGCCGAAAATGTATTGTGCAAATTATTGTTAATAATTATTTTGGTTTAACTTTTTCCTAGCTCCTATACAAATAAAAAGATACATTTTAACTTGCTCTCATTTGCTGTGTGTGCTATGTATAAATAAGCAACGTGCCTCTGGAACGGGTTCCGTGATTAACTTCTGCCGAGATCCTTTCATGTCACGCAAAACAATGTGAAAATGATTTCACTCCAGCTGTATAATTTCATGGGAATTAAACCTGCCAGTCGTTTTTTTTTTTTTGTTTTTGTTTTTTTGAAAAATAGTCACTCGACCGGTCAGAAAAGTTGGAAAACATCTCTATATTCAAAACCATGTTAATAGATAAATGCTGAACTTATTTGGGTAGAATTTGGTTAAATTCCTTTCTGTGGCGATCACAACAAAATTAATGCATCTCTTAATTACCACCAAAATGGTGGGCCACATAAAATGATGTGGCGGGCCGTATCTGGCCTCCGGGCCTTGAGTTTGAAACCTGTGCACTATAGTGGAAGAAGCAATGCAGGCTGGTTGATGTTGGCCGGTGATTTCATATTTTTTCAAGGCGGTCATGTGGGGGCGCTCGAAAGCCCTTCGTTGCAATCACAGAGAAGAAGAGTCGTTCGTGTGACGTCACCGTTTTGTTTTGCACCGTGGAAGCCCGGGCAAGATGGCGAGCTCCAAGGTGAAGCAGGACATGCCTCCGCAGGGAGGTTATGCCGCCTTCGACTACAAGAGAAATCTACCCAAAAGAGGACTCTCGGGTACACGCACCACACTGAGGCTTGCTAAATCCACCGACTTTGTAGTTACTAAGCACACGGGCTATCATTACTTCATGCTGCTCAATGCTAAAGCTAATACAAACAGGTTACGGCAATGGGCTGAAGGCAGAAATAACTGACTTTGTTTGAAACTAATTAAATGGGTACGCTATTCACAATGCGAAAATGTTCCATACATGTATGTTGATGATTATTATTGACCTCCCATCATTTGCGTGGTAAGCATTTCCTTGCATCCATCCTCAATGGCTGAAAGCCAGGCTTTAATTCTTATGGGAAATGATATCCATAAATGAAATGGATTTTAATTGAGGGTGGAAACACTAATTTCTATTTTTTTTCTTAGCATAAAAAGAAGATACTTATCGCGTGAGCTTACAGACATCAAAGTTAAATCTTTAAGTTCTAGCCAAGCAAATTCCAAGTCTGAAAATTGTCACTTAGTCACATTCAAGTCACCCACCTCTGCAATTTACTCAGTGTTGAAATGATGGCCTCTTTAGTTAAAAATAAAGCTATTATTCCATTGTATGAATGGCAACTGATGGATACACAGGTTATATATATTAGTATTAGAGTATTAGATGTGTTTTATATATATTTTTTTTGCCTGTCACCGTATGCGCTCGCATGGATAAATGAACAAAGATACATCATTAAAAAGTTTTGGAAAGATTAAGTGATATTGGATCATTTCCCACTGCAGCCGTCACAATGGTTGGGAATCACGAACCTAAGCGGTTAGACTCACAAATCCTCATTCAACAGGTTATAGCATGTTTGGCATTGGCATCGGCCTCATGTTGTTCGGCTACTGGAGAATTTTCAAGTGGAACCGGGAGAGGAGGTAGGAACGTTCGTGTGTTTGCTGTATTTTGCGGGAACCGTGGGATGTGAAGACTGATGTTACATTTTGTGTCTTTTGTGACCCTCAGGCGCTTGCAGATCGAGGAGCTGGAAGCCAGGATAGCTATGATGCCGCTATTGCAGGCGGAGCAAGACCGCAGGTAAAGGGAAAATAGAAATACGGTGGACCAGTCACGATGCACTTTCTGGTTGATTGTAGCGCGAGGGAGCAATTTGCATCTGACTGCAGCGCTCAGATCAGGGTTTGACTGAATGTGGGTGGAGCTAAAAGTTTGGCGGAATTGGTCGAAATGGTCATTTAGATGTCCATTCTGGGTGAAAGTGGGGGCTCCGAAGTTGGTTCTTGGCCATTGGGTTCATCAATTGTGGTCAAACGATCTGCATAGAAGAGTGGGTTGTGTGCAGTACCATGTATCAGCAGTAGAGGGCGCGCTCCTTGGTGGTTGAAGTTTTCAAAAACGCCCTCCCCGTAGGAATGAATGGGATTTTCATGGAGTGTGTCATTTTTCGAAGTGGAACCGTGAAGAAGCCCCCCCAGAACCATGGTCGTAGCACATTTTGGGTCATTTGCACGCAAATTGTGTTCGTTCAGCCACTGCTCGATCTGCACTCTGCAGCCAGGCCTTACCTGATGGGAGGGATCGTGCAATAAGATTCTAAAAAAAATGCTTTATATTGCGGTTGTTCACCGACCATAAACTGGTTGAGTGTACATCCTTACGGTCATCATTCCTCAAATAGTGGCCTGGAGTCGATTAGATTGATTCAATAATCACATGACCTCATCTCAAATAGACACCTCATTTGCACTCCCGGGTAGCTGAAGAACAGGTTGTGCCACTCGATGTAATTCTAGCCACCAACTCACTTGCGAGTCAATAGCGTGCATGCCAAGAGAAAAACTGACTTCATGAAAGAAGGCAAAACCACTTGATACAAACAACAGATAATGTTCAACATGGTTTGTTGAGGACAGTGTGACGATGATGAAAGTTGGTTTCAATAAATGAAGAAAAATCCATTCATTTTATTTGTTGAATTATTAAAAAGAACAAAACAACTGAAATAGAAATTTACCTTCATGTGGTTGCCCAATGCTTCTCCCTCACGCCGCGCCGCATCATTGAAAGGAAACCAGAATAGAACAATAAAAATTGCCAATGCCAGTTTAACAGGATCCCGTTCCCATTTTTAACACCAAACTGACAATTCTGTTCTAAGTATTAAGGCCTTCTTTCAAATGCCTTGCATCAAATACAAGTGTGGTATTTGAAAGAAATATGACGTGGTTTGTATGTCCCATTTTGATCTGTTTTAACTGTTCTCATTCTCTTGTCAGGAACTTGCGGATGTTGAGGGAAAATTTAGAAGAGGAGGCGATTCTCATGAAGGATGTTCCCGGGTGGAAGGTAAAAACCCAACAAAAAAAAAAAAAGTCTGGTTGTCATTTTCCAATGTGTCATGAGCAATATTAATGCACTCGCTCTGAAATCGATAGGGCTTCCAAGTACTTGGAATGGAGCTCATGCGTTTCCACTTACCAGTACTTTTTAACGGCTTGTCACTCAGGCGGTTAAAAAAAAAAAAGAACAACACAAAGGAGTCATGGACTACTGTAATGATTGCCCTTTGAGGAGAGGGCATGGTCGAGGCACTTTAAGCCAGTCATTAAACGTGACAAGCAGTCATAAGCCCAAGTACAAAATGAGCTGCTGCAGGCGACGACTCACGCCCAGACGCAACTTGTAGCTTGTCAACCAGGCATCGCCTGCGAGGCCATGCCCCTTAAACACAAATACAACAATATTGTGCAGCAATTGCACTATGTAACTAACCACTTTAGAGGCATAATGATTGACAACTAATCGATTATCAAATAATTATAATTCACAAAATGATAGGCTCACGTGTAAATATTCCCAATTTTATGGGCTTCTCCATGAATGCGGACTTTGATCAAAAATGTCATTTGCCAACATCTTTTAGTTTGGAAAACAATGATCAATATTTGTACTCATTTTCCACATCAAACAAGCAACTAAATCATAATTTGGGCATTTTCTATAGTATTAATCTGAAATGTGCCATTTTTAAACTGATAGTAATTCAAATTTTCTTTGCTTAATTCAACAAAATAACTGAAACTGCTTGCAGCTCTAAACCAGTTTATTCATGGATATATTTTTTTTCCCTCAATACACTGCTGATGTGATATCAAAAATGGCAGTCAATTTAGTGCTTGTTGGAACTCAAGTGTGAAATTAAACAAGATGGCGGCCCCATTACTGAAAACATGTAATTGAACGCCATTTTTACACGAAAAATGCCACCTTATTCCGCACACAGAGGCACCAATGCGAAACTCTGACCTAATAGTCTACAAAGAGCTCATTATCACCATGATACCCCTTCTGCCGCTTGAAATAATCAACGGAAGCAAACATGAATCTTCCTCCAGGTGGGCGAGAGCGTCTTCCACACAGATCGCTGGGTGGCCCCCATGTCAGAGGAGCTCTTCAACCTCAGGCCACGGGAAGAGTTTTTACATAAGCGCTTTGGCTTCTTGTGGTATGTTTAAATCATCCCACTTCCTCGACAGCATGTGGATCCACGGCCGTGGCATCATCTACTTTGTAAATGTTCAATATTAAACATACATTTTTTTGTTCCCACTTCCTGGCATTTTGTGTGTCTGTGTATAAACTACTTTGACTTAAGGACTGAGCATTTTGAATGGCTCACGTTTCCCATGCGCCTGGAAGTTAACATTTCAGGCCGGGCAGGTTAAATCGATAGAAATCTTAAGTTTAAAATTTGCAGATTGTAAATTTTGATACCATCTAATGTGGATTTCAAGTTTGAAGATTGTCAATTCAATACTACACAGGCAGTGGAATCTGTTTTGAAGAGGCTTTCGGTTTTACTGGGTGTTCAATTAACCCCATTTCAAGGGTTTCACATTTCCAATGTGTCATTTTAGTGTGAGGGAGAAAATCAACCTGTCATTTTAAGTGTGGAGAGTTATTCCTAGGATTCAACTCTGTTGGCAGGGTTTTAGGGCAAATTTCACACCAGTATCAAATTTCTTTTGAAGTAACGGTGCATAGTTCAGTCATTTAACGAGATGCGCCAGGAATAACATTTCAAAAGTGTGTAAATGAAATAATGGTAATGAATTATGGAAATATTGAAAAGCGGTCAAAGTAGCTTTACTTCATTTATTTCATAATTACAGAGAAACATTTTCCAGAATATCACATTGTTGAAACTCCTTCAATGGAGTCATCAGTCCATCTCTGGCATTATATAATTTTTTATAATTACGATGACAGACACTGAGCCACACCTTGTCAGCCTTCCCTGTAGCAATAAACTGGGCCTGGGAAAAAAAAAAAAAACAAATAAAAGAAAATCATGATTGTAGATGGTCAGAAGGATTCATCATTTATCAAACACCACCACACAAGCGACAGGCTTTAGAATGTAAGACATTTATGGGCCAAATGTACAACTGCTCGCCGCTCCCCAAAATCAAACTATTTCCTCCTTGGAGACACATTTTAAGAGATACACAAACGTCAAAAGCCCTATTTAGGAAAAATGTTACGACATAACATTTTGTCTAGGCATTTGCTGGAATTTCACTTAATTCCAACTCAAGATGAACAAAATATTCTTTAATCGCCACACAACAGTCTTGGGTTAAAACATTAACATTATTTATCAGCTTTAACATAATGGCCGCAATCACATTTTGACAAAAAAAGAAAAAACTTTTTGCCTTCAACATTTCATGGTGTAGCTGGCCATAATCATTTAGTCCTGTAATGAAATTTTTGGGTTTTCTGGTAATTAAGACGTGGGTCTTTATATGACAAAAATGACAATATTCATTACCAACAGCAAATACAAAGCAAATTAGATTGATTCAATAATCACATGACCTCATCTCAAATAGACACCTCATTTGCACTCCCGGGTAGCGGAAGAACAGGTTGTGCCACTCGATGTAATTCTAGCCACCAACTCACTTGCGAGTCAATAGCGTGCATGCCAAGAGAAAAACTGACTTCATGAAAGAAGGCAAAACCACTTGATACAAACAACAGATAATGTTCAACATGGTTTGTTGAGGACAGTGTGACGATGATGAAAGTTGGTTTCAATAAATGAAGAAAAATCCATTCATTTTATTTGTTGAATTATTAAAAAGAACAAAACAACTGAAATAGAAATTTACCTTCATGTGGTTGCCCAATGCTTCTCCCTCACGCCGCGCCGCATCATTGAAAGGAAACCAGAATAGAACAATAAAAATTGCCAATGCCAGTTTAACAGGATCCCGTTCCCATTTTTAACACCAAACTGACAATTCTGTTCTAAGTATTAAGGCCTTCTTTCAAATGCCTTGCATCAAATACAAGTGTGGTATTTGAAAGAAATATGTGGGGGGGGGGGGTGTCAAAAAATATCAGTGAATCTGCTCACAACTAGGAAAACTTGTAAATTGGGGCATTAAAAAATAAACATACCCACTTGACCCGACCGGTCTTGCACACCAACTGCCGGGTGCCTCCCAGGCGGAAACTCTTTCAGCTGCGACATCCACCAAGTCCAATCATCAGTTCAACCTGGAGAAAAAGAGAAGGTGTCAAGTCTGTGCACTAACAACGAAGCGACCCAAATACACACACACACAAAAAAATAAATTAAAAAAATCCAACAGCATGCAACACTATTCATGGGTCTGAAACTCACCACTTAAAATGTAAAATACTCAAGACGTAAGAGTACATTTTTTTTGGGGGGGGAAGAATACTTTGGTGGGTCGTTACAGGGGGCAAATCAGAGGACTAATGCAGTGAACTGAAGTGGACAGGTCGGTACAATCCATGACTCAAGAGGCCAGTGCTTTTTTTTTGTCTCTTTTCGTTTTTGGTGAACTGATGGAGTATTACATTCCAGGAGCTTCACAAACAATTCCTCGGGTATTAAAAAAAAAAAAAAAAAATTCGGAGCAAAGGCTTTAGCGGCCATGTCATGTTTGTTTGTGGACGGCTTGTGAGGCAGAGGACTAGAAAGAGCGACTGAACTTGAGGGCATTCATGGAAACAATGACAACTGAGTTGGAAGGATGTGAGCAAAGCAAAAGGAGATTTTTACCTCACGTGCATTGGCCTACTCTCTCTCCACATATGACCTAGGCAAGAGAGCAGCTTTCATCTCTGAGCAGCACTTGTTGGTAGGCGCAACGCTTCACTCTCCAAGGACTTGGTAGGATTTGGAAGTAGCTGACCTCTTGAATGTAATGAAGCATTAACATGACCAAAAACCAGCTAAATGTTCCCCAGCAACGACACGCTTCGTTAAACCCAAACTTAGGTTTAACCTCGCCACATTAGTTGCCCAGCTAAAGTCCGAATACTCGTTCGGAGCCAAGCGGTACATTCTCAACGAAGGCTCAGATTGGGAAGCGGTTGGGCACCAGCAGCAGCAGCTTTGTTTTATCACGTTCACATTTTAACTCCAAATGGATCCTACTAATTTAACTAATGTGCACAAAATTTGAATCGAGTCCCTCCCCCGCGACACTTTTTGAGGCAAGAATCAAAAGAATATTTTCCACAATCTGTTTAATGGGCTCCGTGAAGCCGAGCTGACAAAAAAAAAAAAAAAAAACCCATACAAAGAACATAAAGTACAAAGCTGTTCCCGATTGCGATTTTACTTTTGGAAACGGAGTTACATTTTGTTTCGATCACTTGACAAGATTAGTCCAATTTACAGCACTTTTTTTTTTAATTTTTTTAAATGCAGATGTTGAGCAGAGCACAGAAGATACCTTGGACAGACTGCATGCTGCAATTTGCAACTTCATGAACAGCCGGCCCCTTCGGATTTGTAGTTCACCAGTCTGAAAGGAATTCACGCTTTTGGGAAATTGAACACACAGGAGGCGCCAACTAACCTAAGTTTAATTGAAAAACGAATTTTAGGCCTTAAAACTACACTATCTCCTTCAGTCTGTCTGGTCAAATTCGTATCTTTCCTCAAGAGTTAAAACAATGGCGGGAGGCTGGTCGCTGGAACCTCAGAAAGACACAAATGAGCCCCATCAAGTGCCAAAAATAAAAATAAAAAATTGAAAACCAGGCAACACTTGAACGTTTTGGAGAAAGTATAGATCCTTAAAAAAAAAAAAAAAAAAAAAAAAAGCCATGGACTTGTCTGACCCCCAAATTCTGGGTTTCATGGCATTGACCCACTCATAAGTTTATCAGTTAACATAGTTGGGAAAAGATTTGTGGTGCCCCCTGGGCAAAGCAAAGACCGTTAACTGTAATTTTTGTTAAACACGTGGTTTTTTTTCCCCTCCTTGCTTTAAAAAGCGAAAGACCAAAAACTCAAGGCTACATTCTTTTAAGATGCTTTGTTACTACAACAGAACTACAAAACTAAGGTCAGCAATAACATGGACGGGTTTTCTTGAGGAGCGCATCTTTGAAATACAGCCAGCCAAGTGATGATCTTGAATCAGGGAGATGTTTAGTCGTTTGCAGCTGAGGATAAGAAGTGGGCACACAGGTAAAGACACTGAAAGTTCCTTGACAACATCCCACTCAACCCACCACAGTCCAGAAGCCCTCCCACACTTTATTTTGCACAAGGGCCCCCTCCCCTCATTTTTCCTCCCAATTTCACTGAGAGCGAGGCAACTCCTCTATCTTATCGTGCGCCAGCCTTGTTGCAATGCAGGGTGATGCGGATAGCAACGTTTGGTAGCCTACCCAAAAGGCACACCAACTCGGCATCGAGCGGCAAAAGGTGTAACAGACAAATGCGATATGTTGGGGCTGGGTGGGTGTGTTCCCGAAACAATTGACTGTTTTTAAAAAGGGCTAACTGTTAAAAGCTGAGTTACCTGAAGGAAGAGGGAAAAAAAAACCCAACCCGGGGGGGGGGGGGAAAAAAAAAAAAAAAAAAAAACTCAAATTGGACAGTGAAGTGTGATTACAGCCCCAACATAAATGTATTCAGCATGAAATCAACATCAATGCCTACCATAGTCGTATCCATCGCGGTATGAGCTTGAACGGTCGCCGCCATAGCCGCCTTGACCCCTGGAAGAAATGAACATTTTAGCGCTAAAATACTCAAGACAACAGGCCCCCTTAAGTCAAGGTACAACGTGTATAGATGCACTACCTACCTATTGTCCCTGTAGCCGCCCGAGTAGCCGCCACTCCTGTAGCCGCCGCCGCCGCCTCCACTGTTAAAGCTCCTGTCTCCACCTCCAAAGCCCCTGTCACCGTAACCCCTGTCGCCGCCGCCGTAACTCCGGTCTCCATTGTAACCACCTTACAGACATTTTTAAAGTGCTTTAAAATGCACCATGTATACAAAGAAGTTTGGAGTAGCGCACCCACCTCTACCTCTAGAACTTCCAAAACGGCCTCCGCCACCCCCACGTGACCCACCGGCGCTGAATCCCCCTCTGGAGCGACCACCACCCTTCCCAGCTTCATCCACACGGATAGACCGGCCATCCAGAGTCTATGGACAACATTTGTCTGTTATCAGCAATCCATCCTTGACGTGTGATACTTGAATTTTTATCCAAGTGTGATTTACCTTTCCGTTCATGGCCTCCAACGCATCTTTGGCATCTTCCACATTTTCATATTTCACAAAGCCAAAACCACGAGACCTTCCTGTCTCTTTGTCTCTGATCACATCCACTGAGGGGGGACAAGAAAAATAAATAAAAATTAACAGGACTACCTGCAGCACAGAACCCTTATTCTCGGAAAAGAATGAGATTCCTCTGGAAATTGAGTGGGAATTCAAGAGCCGACAAGCTGATACATTAAATCAAATTATTGAAATGTAAAGGCGAGGGAAGAATTTGGAATTTTATTGTATAAATTGGGTAATGGTGGAATGTCGTAAATACCGCAGGATGTTCTGAATGAGAATAAAGCATTGCGTTTCTCTCATGGAATTTGAGGGAAAACGGAGCATTTCTAAATGTGAAAACCTGCCAAGAAATGTGGAAGGCAGCATGTTTTTTAGGACGTGAAGAATGGTAGTCTGAATTTGGGATTTTTTTTTAAATTTGACTGTAGTGATGGTTTGGTAAATGACGACGTTTGGATCATTGATTGTCTCATGTTATTTTCTTGTGCAACTACAACAAAATAGTAGGCGAAAGAATGAAACCATAATTTGAGCAGATGGCTACTATAAAGGTACCTTTTTCGATGGTTCCATATTTGCCGAAGGCCGCCGCCAGCGAGTCTTCGGTCGTGGTGAAGTTCAAACCTCCAACGAACAACTTTCCCTCGTCCGACATCTTCAAAGTGGGGATGGGGGAGCGGGTTTAAGTGAACAAAATCTTGGAACGGGTTCTCGTAACACGGTTTTCGAACGACGTCATTGCGTACTGCGCCACACTGAGAGGTTAAAATAGGTGATCCATCCAGAAATAGCGCAATAAACGAAACAACCGTGGCCTGTTTGAGTAATCGAATGAGGCCGGATTGTTTTGTTAAAAACTCTATCCTGGCGAGAATTCAACCGATTAATGGAAGTGGGAGCTCCAAGGCCTCGAGGCCGCAAACGTGGTCAGTTGTGTTAGCCCGTTGCTAACTCAGGTTAGCATTTTTCCTCTCTCTTCTGGCGCCATTTTAAGTGCAGACCTCCCTCTGCCCGCTTTGTTTCACAAAATTGCCATCACTGCCAGATTTGCATCAAATACAACAGCTCACTCCACATTAATATCTCTCCACACAAAATATATCAAGCATATATTTGGGCGTTTATATTCAAAGATAATAAAAAAATAACGAATTAATCTAAGCCCTTTAATAGCGATTTACAATTATTTCAGTCCCCCCCCCCGAAAACAACCCCAAATCAAAGCATTGCACAAACGTAGATAAATAACAACAAAGCATTGTAAAAACCCACTCTGTACGGTACACGTATTTGATTTTGTAGAATTAGTACTGATTAAAAAGACGGACGCACTAAAGAAGCAAATAAGAGCAACTACCTTTCGAAGGATGAAGACTTCACGAACAGTTGCGAGGAGCTGCCGAGGGAATGAGGGCGGTAAGAGACCGTGCAAGTGTTTTACTGTGGTGGAGCTCTCCGTGGACCGCTAGGACCAATTGGGGCGGATCACGTGATTCACTAACTCGTCGACTTTGCGATGGCTTTTACTCAGTAAAGCTCACTTCTGCCTTCTCTTTCATATCGCAATGTAGATTTTAAAAATGTAAACCAAATAAATGAGGAGGCTAACAACAATCAGTTGTATCGCCGGTTTGAAAAAAATAATGAAAAAAGCGCCATTACGTTGCTTTGTGGGTCATAATACGCGATTGTGATGTTTTCCCTGTAACGCAGCATGATAAATTCTGACGAAATAAACTCATCCCATCCGTGTTACGTAGATTCCGATTACTTTGCGAAATCTTGTGTATTTCCTGGTTGAGCCTCGTGTTAACATAATCTCAAAAGAACAAAGACGAACGCTAGCTTGATTTTTTTTAATAGGCCAAATCCCGTTTCTTTTTATTCGCACCATCAAAATGCTTTCTGCGTTATAATGTGTGTTTTTATTCAACTATTTCGCATGAATTTAAAAGAATCCGAAGGCAAGCATGCGTGTCACGTGACTGTGCAGGTCATAACGGTCCACGGAGGCAGTCTGCCTCTGGCGCTCTTTGGCGCTGACCTAATGTGACGGAAGTGACGTAACGGCTATTTAAAATGGTTGCTTCCTCTTCACAGCGCCTCCTAAAGGAACTGGGGGTATAATGACAATACAAATCAAACGCTTGGGGAAATATTGAAAATGTTGGAGCCGTTATCTCTGAACGGGGTTATGTGTTTTTGTGTGTTGATTTTAAAAAAAGGAATGTTATAATTGAAATACTATAAATCATTTTAGAAGTTGTGTCTTTAGATGGACAGACAACAGTTTACAGTACATCTGGACATCTTCGAAGAAGATGCTTGCAAACGTTAAAATGCGCTGGAGAATATGTTGGGAAGTACACAAGGACCATATCGCACACTGCAATGTGTTTTCGATAACACCAGCACACACTGATCACCACCAGGTCACAAGTATTTAATACAAGTTCAATCAAGTCGAGCAACATTTTATAACGCCTCTGGCAGGCACTGCTTTCCATTGTTGCTAATCTAAAAAAAAAAAAAAAAATTCGGAGCAAAGGCTTTAGCGGCCATGTCATGTTTGTTTGTGGACGGCTTGTGAGGCAGAGGACTAGAAAGAGCGACTGAACTTGAGGGCATTCATGGAAACAATGACAACTGAGTTGGAAGGATGTGAGCAAAGCAAAAGGAGATTTTTACCTCACGTGCATTGGCCTACTCTCTCTCCACATATGACCTAGGCAAGAGAGCAGCTTTCATCTCTGAGCAGCACTTGTTGGTAGGCGCAACGCTTCACTCTCCAAGGACTTGGTAGGATTTGGAAGTAGCTGACCTCTTGAATGTAATGAAGCATTAACATGACCAAAAACCAGCTAAATGTTCCCCAGCAACGACACGCTTCGTTAAACCCAAACTTAGGTTTAACCTCGCCACATTAGTTGCCCAGCTAAAGTCCGAATACTCGTTCGGAGCCAAGCGGTACATTCTCAACGAAGGCTCAGATTGGGAAGCGGTTGGGCACCAGCAGCAGCAGCTTTGTTTTATCACGTTCACATTTTAACTCCAAATGGATCCTACTAATTTAACTAATGTGCACAAAATTTGAATCGAGTCCCTCCCCCGCGACACTTTTTGAGGCAAGAATCAAAAGAATATTTTCCACAATCTGTTTAATGGGCTCCGTGAAGCCGAGCTGACAAAAAAAAAAAAAAAGCTGAAAAAAAAAAAAAAAAAAAAACCCATACAAAGAACATAAAGTACAAAGCTGTTCCCGATTGCGATTTTACTTTTGGAAACGGAGTTACATTTTGTTTCGATCACTTGACAAGATTAGTCCAATTTACAGCACTTTTTTTTTTAATTTTTTTAAATGCAGATGTTGAGCAGAGCACAGAAGATACCTTGGACAGACTGCATGCTGCAATTTGCAACTTCATGAACAGCCGGCCCCTTCGGATTTGTAGTTCACCAGTCTGAAAGGAATTCACGCTTTTGGGAAATTGAACACACAGGAGGCGCCAACTAACCTAAGTTTAATTGAAAAACGAATTTTAGGCCTTAAAACTACACTATCTCCTTCAGTCTGTCTGGTCAAATTCGTATCTTTCCTCAAGAGTTAAAACAATGGCGGGAGGCTGGTCGCTGGAACCTCAGAAAGACACAAATGAGCCCCATCAAGTGCCAAAAATAAAAATAAAAAATTGAAAACCAGGCAACACTTGAACGTTTTGGAGAAAGTATAGAAAAAAAAAAAAAAAAAAAAAAAAAAAAAAGCCATGGACTTGTCTGACCCCCAAATTCTGGGTTTCATGGCATTGACCCACTCATAAGTTTATCAGTTAACATAGTTGGGAAAAGATTTGTGGTGCCCCCTGGGCAAAGCAAAGACCGTTAACTGTAATTTTTGTTAAACACGTGGTTTTTTTTCCCCTCCTTGCTTTAAAAAGCGAAAGACCAAAAACTCAAGGCTACATTCTTTTAAGATGCTTTGTTACTACAACAGAACTACAAAACTAAGGTCAGCAATAACATGGACGGGTTTTCTTGAGGAGCGCATCTTTGAAATACAGCCAGCCAAGTGATGATCTTGAATCAGGGAGATGTTTAGTCGTTTGCAGCTGAGGATAAGAAGTGGGCACACAGGTAAAGACACTGAAAGTTCCTTGACAACATCCCACTCAACCCACCACAGTCCAGAAGCCCTCCCACACTTTATTTTGCACAAGGGCCCCCTCCCCTCATTTTTCCTCCCAATTTCACTGAGAGCGAGGCAACTCCTCTATCTTATCGTGCGCCAGCCTTGTTGCAATGCAGGGTGATGCGGATAGCAACGTTTGGTAGCCTACCCAAAAGGCACATCAACTCGGCATCGAGCGGCAAAAGGTGTAACAGACAAATGCGATATGTTGGGGCTGGGTGTGTGTGTTCCCGAAACAATTGACTGTTTTTAAAAAGGGCTAACTGTTAAAAGCTGAGTTACCTGAAGAGGGGAAAACAAAACCAAACCAGGGGGGGAAGTTAAAAATGTAAACCAAATAAATGAGGAGGCTAACAACAATCAGTTGTATCGCCGGTTTGAAAAAAATAATGAAAAAAGCGCCATTACGTTGCTTTGTGGGTCATAATACGCGATTGTGATGTTTTCCCTGTAACGCAGCATGATAAATTCTGACGAAATAAACTCATCCCATCCGTGTTACGTAGATTCCGATTACTTTGCGAAATCTTGTGTATTTCCTGGTTGAGCCTCGTGTTAACATAATCTCAAAAGAACAAAGACGAACGCTAGCTTGATTTTTTTTAATAGGCCAAATCCCGTTTCTTTTTATTCGCACCATCAAAATGCTTTCTGCGTTATAATGTGTGTTTTTATTCAACTATTTCGCATGAATTTAAAAGAATCCGAAGGCAAGCATGCGTGTCACGTGACTGTGCAGGTCATAACGGTCCACGGAGGCAGTCTGCCTCTGGCGCTCTTTGGCGCTGACCTAATGTGACGGAAGTGACGTAACGGCTATTTAAAATGGTTGCTTCCTCTTCACAGCGCCTCCTAAAGGAACTGGGGGTATAATGACAATACAAATCAAACGCTTGGGGAAATATTGAAAATGTTGGAGCCGTTATCTCTGAACGGGGTTATGTGTTTTTGTGTGTTGATTTTAAAAAAAGGAATGTTATAATTGAAATACTATAAATCATTTTAGAAGTTGTGTCTTTAGATGGACAGACAACAGTTTACAGTACATCTGGACATCTTCGAAGAAGATGCTTGCAAACGTTAAAATGCGCTGGAGAATATGTTGGGAAGTACACAAGGACCATATCGCACACTGCAATGTGTTTTCGATAACACCAGCACACACTGATCACCACCAGGTCACAAGTATTTAATACAAGTTCAATCAAGTCGAGCAACATTTTATAACGCCTCTGGCAGGCACTGCTTTCCATTGTTGCTAATCTGCAAACTGAGATTCACCCATTTTATGCTGAGAAATGTTTAGAACAACACAAGCACTGTCTGAGAACGTGCCCGTACTCTGGAAATCGGTGGAGTCTGAGAGCCTCCTGGCTGTCCATTTTTATCCAGAATTAAGAGGAAGTAGAATGTTGCGGAAAGGTGAGCTAAGCAGAAAGGCGTGTTGTCAAATCAATGATCAAATTACATTTCACATAGAGTGGCTCGATATGTAAATACAGAATGGAGTTGAGCCTGGCAGCACAGTGGGTCAGTGGTTGGCAGGGTTTGAAACTTTGCTCTGGCCTTGTTGTGCAGAGTCTGCATTTTCCCCCTGTGCTTGTGTGGGTTTTCTCCATGTACTCCAGGTTCCTCCCACATTAACCCAAAAATGCATGACAGGTCCACGATCCAATAGTCTGAGTGCAAATAATTGCTTGCAATTGACTGATGACCAGTGTAGCGCGTACATTGCCTCTCGCCCTGAGTAAACTGGGATACACTGCAGATCACCCTCATGAGTATAAACATTTGAGAAAACGGATGAAAAAAAAAAAAAAAAAAAAAAAACCCATACAAAGAACATAAAGTACAAAGCTGTTCCCGATTGCGATTTTACTTTTGGAAACGGAGTTACATTTTGTTTCGATCACTTGACAAGATTAGTCCAATTTACAGCACTTTTTTTTTTAATTTTTTTAAATGCAGATGTTGAGCAGAGCACAGAAGATACCTTGGACAGACTGCATGCTGCAATTTGCAACTTCATGAACAGCCGGCCCCTTCGGATTTGTAGTTCACCAGTCTGAAAGGAATTCACGCTTTTGGGAAATTGAACACACAGGAGGCGCCAACTAACCTAAGTTTAATTGAAAAACGAATTTTAGGCCTTAAAACTACACTATCTCCTTCAGTCTGTCTGGTCAAATTCGTATCTTTCCTCAAGAGTTAAAACAATGGCGGGAGGCTGGTCGCTGGAACCTCAGAAAGACACAAATGAGCCCCATCAAGTGCCAAAAATAAAAATAAAAAATTGAAAACCAGGCAACACTTGAACGTTTTGGAGAAAGTATAGATCCTTAAAAAAAAAAAAAAAAAAAAAAAAAGCCA